AAGATTAGTACCATATACCCTTGGTGTGTAGCAAGCTATACCATCTAGGTTTGTGTAAGTACACTCTATAACGTTCTCACAATGGTGCAATTGCCTAATGACACATTTCTCGGAATGTATCTCCGTCATTACGTGATGCGTGCGTGACTCTATTGTTAAACAAATATACACTTGCAATCTTCAGGTTTAACAACTTCTGTTCTATGAATATATCATAACTTGGTTAATGTAATATTGCTAGGTATTTAGATTGATTTTATAAATATTCACTATTGTAAACCATACTGCAATACACATCACTGTACATGCGTCTTTGTGCTATTGGTCCGGTAGAATGCTATCCTAGAAGGGAAATTGCTAGACTTTTTGATATTTTCAAAGTACCCTCCAATGTTTAAGAGCTCAGGTTTCCCCACACCCTCACCAACACTTTCCATTATCTTTTTGTAGTCTTTACTAGCCCGGAAGTTAAAAAAATGTATATAATTGCTGTTTTGATTTGAATTTCTATGGCTACTATATTACTTTGATAGAATTGCTTATCCATTACCTTTACTCATTTTTATATTGGGATATTTGTCTTTTTAAATTGATTTACAAGAGTAATTTTCTCCTAGAGATAGCAACACTTTGTCACAAGTTGCAAATGTTTTTCCCAGTTTGTCATTAATTTATGGCAGCTATTTTCTTCTTTGCACTTTTCTCTATTTACCCAATTTTATACAATGAATATGTATTGCTTTTATAAACAGAAAAAATATTAATAAAATAATGTCAGTGGTTTGCATTTATGATTTGATTACAAAATATGTACTTATAATTAATTTACTACAATAATCTTAGTATTTTTACACTGAATCATGATTCCACTATAAAAAACACTATAAGAAATACTTACTACTATGATTAGTAAACTTTATAATTATTTCAAAAGACATGTCATATTATAAACTACCAAAACACATTAATCTATTAAGAATATAAAAAAATAAATAAGTGAAAACATTAAGTGAACTAGCCTTGCACATATATGGTGCAGGGTGTATTTGGCTAACTTTTGTGTGATGTGTTTTTGACGACCACATAAATTATCCAATTTTCAATGTTTATTTATACTGTATATAACATTAATGCTGCTGTAATACTATAAATAAAAGCTAACATGTATTGAATCCCCATTATGTGTTTTTATATAAATTAGCTCCCTTGCTAGGTGTTATTTTTCTAATTGTATAAATAATGAAACTGAGGTTCAGAAATATTAAGTGGCTTGTGGAAGGATATCCTGCCAGCACGTGGCAGAGCAAGGATTCAAAATCAATTTTACTTAACCTCAAAGTACATTCTCCTTCCACTATGGTGAGAAACTCCTGAAATGGTCGTCTCTGTTGGCCATTTTACTTTTATAATTAGTATTTCTCTTATAAAGAAAATGTTCCAGAAACTGAGATGCTCCATTTTGCTTCACATGTGGCTGTGGAAATTTTACACTCACTCTGATTTAGTTTGACGAAGCAGCAGAGGTGAGAATTACAAGCAGAGGGACAAATGAATAAAAATGTCACAGGAGAAGGAGAAGGGGGAAAAAACCTAAAAGGTTTTAAAGTATATACTCAAGAGAAATATTTAAAATGTTTCTGGATAAATATAATTTCAATGTATGGTTCAAAAAGGTAAATATTACAAATATTTAAAATAAGTTACTGTGTTATGGCTTTTCAAGTATGAAAAATATGTGTAGGGAGCATGATGCATTTCTTCATAACTTTTACAATAATATATAAGCATTACACTTAAAAACTTTCAATGGGAAAGCATAGTGAATTGGTAAAATTTGAACTCAAGAACTACCACATCTGGAGGGCAGCTCTGGGCAGTATTTCTAAGAGAACAAACACTCTACCATGTTCTCATCACAACACCTACCTTCACACAGAAAGTTTAAGGGTGATCTTAGTGCACTGCAAATTTATGTCTTACTTCTATAGTTTTATAGTTCACATATATATACATATAATTACCTATATAGTTTACTATATAATTATGTTATGTACCCATCAAAAAGTAAAATGCAGTAGAATATCACGTGCATATGAAACTCAGCAATCCAACAACCTCACTTGTCCGAAACGCAGCCAACATAGATGTCACAAGATCCATGGATTTTACTAAAAGTACAACCCTTGGCCTTAAAACACACTTTCTCTTATTTTATACATAATTTTACCAAATCTGATACCCTAATTTATAACAAATTAGAAATAACAAAATAGGAGGGGCATTGGTGATAGAGATTGCTGTTAGAGGCACCTTGATAGCACCAAAACTAAGAATGTTCACTAAATATTGCTCACTAAAAAGGAGAAGAAAGGAAAAACATAAGAGACTCTATGTGTGAGATCATTAAATAGTCTGGGGTTTTTTGTAAAGGAGAAAATCACCCCATATATCTTACCACATTGTAAGCATTATTATTTTATAGCACAGTACAATAATTGATTTCCATAATGAAACTCTCAGTCAAAAAGTAAGGGTTCAAGGGGCCGGCCCGGTGGCGCAAGTGGTTAAGTGTGCGTGCTCCGCTGCGGCAGCCTGGGGTTCACCGGTTGGGATCCTCGGCGTGCACTGACGCACCACTTGTCAAGCCATGCTGTAGCGGCGTCCCATATAAAGTGGAGGAAGATGGGCATGGATGCTAGCCCAGGGCCAGTCTTCCTCAGCCGAAAGAGGAGGATTGGCTGATGTTAGCTCAGGGCTGATCTTCCTCACAAAAAAAATAAAATAAAATAAGGGTTCAATTATTTTCAATATTCTCTATTGAAGTAAAGTAGGAAAGTATACATTTAAGAAATGTTTTCCATTTATAATGTTGAAAATAAAGAAAATTAATTGCCTGAGGGTTCCCAATAACGGAAATAAATTTTACTAAAAGTCGTTCAGTTATAGGATCTAAAATTTACCAATGCTTATAGGATATAAATGATTCCTCATTCCAAATGCCTCATTGGTAAGAGAGAAAAAATGGGTCAAGCAAAATTGATATGACGAGAATTTGGGGTTTGGAACTAACAAAGTGATACTACATGGAAAAAAGAAAGGAAAGACATTTGGGTCACTAATTCATTGATGTTCAAAAAATTCTTTCAGTTCTCAGAAATTCACTGTCTCCAAACCTCTTTTCCTTTTATCTATACCTCCTTCTTTGTTTCTCTGTTCCTTTTATTTATTTTCTCATGGTTATTTTAACCTTTTAGGTTCTTTTTACTTTGGGGTCAAGTTCTTAGTACAGTGGAATTTAAGTTCCTTTGAAGAAAAACACAACAAATACTATATTAAAAATAACAAATAAAGATCTCTTTCAAGTAGAACATATAGACCCAACAAACATTGGGGTCAGGGGAGGTTGTGGAATAATGAGTCTATAGGGGCCGGCCCCGTGGCTTAGCGGTTAAGTGTGTGCGCTCCGCTACTGGCAGCCCGGGTTCGGATCCCGGGTGTGCACCGACGCATCGCTTCTCCAGCCATGCTGAGGCCGCATCCCACATACAGCAACTAGAAGGATGTGCAACTATGGCATACAAGTATCTACTGGGGCTTTGGGGAAGGAAAAAAAAAGGAGGAGGATTGGCAATAGAGGTTAGCTCAGAGGCAGTCTTCCTCAGCAAGAAGAGGAGGATTAGCACGGATGTTAGCTCAGGGCTGATCTCCCTCACAAAAAAAAAAAAAAAAAAAAAAGTAGTTTATAATAATGAGTCTATAAAAAACGCCCTTTTCCTCTGACCGGAAAAGCCACCAAAATTGTGTTGGAATTTAGATTAGGAAGACTGAATTTCCATACAATTTACACTCTCCTAGAACAGAGAGAATTAATCTGTTTTACACATTTCCTTATAACTTACATAACATTTTACTCATAAGCTTACATTCTAGAAATTTCTTTCTTTCATTTTCATTGTTTGTTGTAGATTTCACACCATTTGGAGCATACCATAGACGTTTGTATTTCAACACTCTCAATATTCAACTACAATAGAGGGGAAGGGGGGAGGGAGGAGGGTGAAAGGGATAATTTGGTACATGTGTGTGGTGATGGGTTGTAATTAGTATTTTGGTGGTGAACATGATGTAATCTATGCAGAAATAGAACTATAATGATGTACACCTGAAATTTTTACAATGTTATAAACCAATGTTACTGCAATAAACAAAAAAATTTAAAAAAAATTCAAGTGCAATCAAGTAAGTTATTAGGGAAAGATTGTAAGAACAAATTGGAAATATAAAAGGTCACAGTCCACAAAGCAGCTGCCCAAGAAGGCTTTTCACTTTAATGGTAAAACATAAGGGAAAAAAAAGAAATTACTGCAGGAAAAAAACAAAACCAATTTGCATTTGTAAAATTAAATCTCATCAACTTGAAATATTACACATTTTACATTACTTTTTCTAGGGCAATTAAACATTTTTCTCTGAGGTTTACTAAAGGTATTTCAAATAGGGAATTTAGAGCTATCAATAGGAGATTTTCTAGTTCTTACACAAATCTGAATATCATGGTTGATCTCAGCAAATAAGAAACAGATATCCCAGATATTTCCCCCCCAGAACTGGTGGCATAATTCCCTTTCTGAAGGCGAATATATCTTTTAGTCTTTAAGAAACAGATTTTCCAAAGAATTCTGCTTATCAAGAAATTTTTATCTTTAGGGTCTTTGAAAGTTCCTCCAACAGAGAAATAAACTTAAAAACAGAAGTCCTCTCTCGTTCTCAAATTAGCCTAACGAATGACAAAGATGGGAAAGTTGCTAATCTTTGAATCTCTACAGTTTCATGCCAGGAGGATTTGTAGTATGTTCAGACAAACATGAAAGGACCTATGCACTCTATAAAATCTGTGACTAGTTCTGTTAGATTTATCTCTTGCCTCCTCTCTATTATCTTCTCATTGCCTTTCACAAACGTGTAGCAGCTCTGATTTTTACAGCTGAATAACTATGGTGTAATAAAGAAAAATTTTCACCCTTGGGATTTCTTGTCCCTTACTCAATAACCCATTAAAATGCATGCATTTTACTTAGAAGGAGGAGGAGGTACTCATAAAAAAAGGCTAGGCTTTCTTAAAAAGACAAAAATACTAAAGTCATAAATGCTTGAAAAAATTCAAATACAACAAGAAAATATGCTAGGTACACAACAGTCCCTCGGTAAATACATGCTTTCCTGATATCATTTTGGAGAGTTATATCTAGATATAGGAACTTTAAAGAAAACATAAGATCAACAACTAATCTTAAAGGTACTCATTAGTTCAAAGGACTGGGATTTTTTAAAGATATGTTTACAATGCAAAAGCTTTAGTGTTTTCAAGGTATTTATAGAAACAAATACATACTAAATCATTAGCTCTATTTATTCAAAAAAATATATTTTTATACGAGGGAAATGAAGCTGTTTATAAAGTTAGTGACTTCATACCCTGATAGTTTTTCCTCATATTAATCAATTATCACTTGTAATAAAAAGCTATAAATTCGAGAGTGTAAGACCTCAATACTTACCCTGACTACACTGAAGTCCAGCTTAGTCTCCTGTGCACACTGTAATATGAGCTGAAAGCAATTTTTACTTTGATTTGTCATTCCATTTTCATAATAACGCTGTAAAATCCTTTGTTGTTCTACAGTAAATACAGAACGTAGATTCATCTAAAAATAAAAGAAGATACTCTGAAAATTGGAATAAAAATTGGGTATGTGTAGAATTTGCACGCTTTGTTTTTTGATACAATTTCAGTGCTTCCAAGCTTCAAGATTTCTTTAAGTGAATTAATCCCCAGTAATTGGCAATAATTTGTGTGCTAAAGGGAGGCAGGTTCTCACTGAAAATTATGCATATTGCAAACACCTATTGAATTTGTTCAGCAAAAGTACCAACTTTAAAGACAAAAAAAAAGAGGAAAGCCCTTATCTGGTTAGTGTCAGTGCATGGGGAAAAAAAGGTTCTTTCACTGAAATAAATATTTATGGCTAGCAAAGGCAGAGATGGTGGTAGCCATACGTGGTCAATTATCAACAGGGACACTCACTGTTCTTTGTCAAGCAAGACATCTGGCATATGTCTTACAGCCAAAAGCTGTGCTCTGGAACAAAAGGGTGCTTTTATTTTTCCTCTTTCTGGGATAAAGGGGTTCTTTTAATATATTAAAACAAGCCTCTCTTTAAAGCTTAAAAATAAACAGGAAGGTTTAGTGACTGTAAAAATTTCTTTGCTTTAGGCGATACTAACCAAAATAATTATTTTTAATAACTATAGTATATAAATCAAAATTCAAAATCATATATATTTTACTAAAAATAAACCGTGTAAAAACTATGTGCCTCTTAATTAAATTGACACTATCATAATTAGACAAGAGAAATAAAAAAACACATATTTTACCCCTCCTGCCAATAGGCAGGATGTTTAATATTAAGAGAAAACAACTCTGTGAATCTTACAAATAAAGGGTAGGTCAAACTCTTTTTAGAAAGATGAATTATAGTAGTGCATTTTATAAAGAATTCAAGTAATTAGATTAAGTCAATTTCAGGTTTTTGTCAAAACCTGTCACACTCAAATTGTTATTCCTAAAAGTTGACAGAGAGAAAGAAAATCCTTCCCAAGTAAAGTGTCTCTTCAAAATTAGGAAAACAGCAACAACATAAAACACTATGGGGCCGGCCCCGTGGCTTAGTGGTTAAGTGCTCGCACTCCACTGCTGGTGGCCCGGGGTTCGGATCCCGCGTGTGCACCGACGCACCACTTCTCCGGCCATGCTGAGGCCGCGTCCCACATACAGCAACTAGAAGGATGTGCAACTATGACATACAACTATCTACTGGGGCTTTGGGGGAAAAAAATAAATAATAAATAAAATTATAAAAAAAAAAAACACTATAAAACCAAACCAAACTGAAATCATTCTAGTATACTGGGTATGGAAACAACCAAGTATATTAACATGGACATAAAAAATAATTTTCCTTTCTCTGAATATTTTGAACAATAAAGCAGTCTCACAAAGAAATTAAAGACAGTCATATAGCCATCCATTGTCATTTGTACAACCTAACTTTCTTTCTTGCCCACACAAACATCTTCCTATCTAATGTTAAGAGATCTGATTAGAGAAAATCAGATGTGATCTCAAGAGGGCAGAAAAAAAAATGAGAGTAGAGTTTCTCCCTAGAACATCCAGAAACAAATAACTTCACTAACTTTCCAAAGAGGAATCTCATTCAAATACACCAACGTGGAAATACAAACCTCTTATCTGCAACCTGACAAAATTTTCAAAGATGTTTGGGCCAGTGGGTAGGGACAGTATCCATTGAATCAATATTTACTATCATGGCTTCCAGCTTTCAGAGCAATTTGGGGTTCCCTTTTCTAAATGGTTCAGCTATAGTCAGGAGAGGAGCCAGAAGATGAAAGTCAAATACCTGAAATACCTCATCTGGTGTGGATTTAGAAGCAAGGTACTTTGGAATGAGTTCTGAAGAGGGTGGTCAACTTCAATTCACTAATGCGTAATCAGGGTAAGGGCTCTGATCCTTCGCTGCAGGGCTGTAACTACCACAGAAAGCCTAGAGTGCAAGACATGGGTGATCCCCTAGTGTGATGATACCTGCCCTAATAATGTAGGAATGTTTTCCTAATGGCTGGCTACAACTGTTACACTTACCCAAGTATGATATGAACCTTAAAAAGTACAGCAAGGGCCAGCCCCGTGGCTTAGCGGTTAAGTGCGCACGCTCCGCTACTGGCAGCCCAGGTTCGGATCCCGGGCTCACACCGAGGCACCGCTTCTCCAGCCATGCTGAGGCCCCGTCCCACATACAGCAACTAGAAGGATGTGCAACTATGACATACAACTATCTACTGGGGCTTTGGGGAAAAAAAAGGAGGAGGATTGGCAAAAGATGTTAGCTCAGAGCTGGTCTTCCTCAGCAAAAAGAGGAGGATTAGCATGGATGTTAGCTCAGGGCTGATCTTCCTCACAAAAAAAAAAAAAAAAGTACAGCAGGTCCTTCCCCACTGATACCAATAGCCAAATATAGGTGACAAGTACTAAACAGATTTCTGGAGTCAACAACTCTGACTCTAGACAATGTTGTGACCTTTTAGCTTTTCCCTTAAATTCAGTAGTTAACAGCAGGAAGGCCACTTTGCTCATGAGATCTACTATCTTTCTTTCAAATGATAGAAAGTTCATTCTTTACTACAACAACCAGATAAACCTTTATAAGCAAGATATCTTGTCATTGTCTACACTCATCTTAGTTATCTTGGTCTATATTAAGTGGCAAAATATTGAATGACTGCAAAGCCAAAGATCTCAATAATTTGCACAAAAATCAGGAATAAAGTTGTAAAAATCTTAATTTTAAAACTTGGGTTCTTATTTATGTATAAGATAAAACTACAATCCATTGGTTTCAGGGAAATTGAAATCTGTTGGTTTGGAGTAGGGAGGGTAATTGAATCAGGGGATTAAATACTGAAATAACAAGTCTTTTAGCTTTTCCCTTAAGATTTCCTAGTCTAATACTCTTTGCATTATTCCATCCACTAAGCACACGCCAGCCCATAGGAATAGGACGACCTGTGTCCCATCCTCAGCTCCACTGTGGACTATTGGGTAAATCATTTAATTTCTATGAGTATTCACTTCCTAGTTGGTAAAATGCTGGATTATATGACTTGTTTAACCTACCAGTCTGAATTGTTACAAAAAATTGAGGATATGTGAACTCGTTTTTCTTAAATTGTAAAGCACGTTACAGTTGTAACATATTTATAAATATAACTAGGCCCTTCAGTTTATCTATCACATTCAGGTATGAGATTTCTCAGGTTGCTCTCAACTTTAGAATTCCGTGTTTTAATAAGGACCCTGAGCCATTGAGAAAAGATTAAATTATGCTCAGTATGTTCTATTCAAACGAGCAGAGCAGTGAGTAAAATATTTTAGATTTATTGCTTCAAGAGTACTTGAAAAATACAGCTTTTGAGAATGGCTGCCTCCTTAGAAGTTCCAGATAGCTAAGGTTATATTTTCACATGGGAATATTTCAGATAAATTCCTATATTACATTGTTATCATATATCTGATGTCATCCTCAAAACCAGTTCTAACAATGACCAAATAATGTCTTAACTAGTTAAATCATTTGAAAAGTACTAAAAATTTTTATTCAGAAGTATTCATTCTTGGAAAACCTGATTTTAAAAATGGAGTGAGTCCATAAAATCATCACCAATTCAAATATAACACATCCTTTTCAACATCAAAATTTTAAATTTTGGGTAAGCCATTGATGTTTTTGTTGTTGTTCTTTGTTTACAAAGAGTTGAGCCTAGGTTAATATAACACCTTGAATATCTTTATCTTGGCCAAAATGTCTCTAGTAACATTGTCCTTTTTATCCATTATTATTTACTTTTAAATTTACATATAGTAAAATTCACTCTTTGTGGTGTACAGTTTTATGGGTTAAGACAAACATATATGGCCATGAAACCATCACCACACTCAAGATACAGAACAGTTCCATCACTCCAAAAAAATTCTCTTATGCTGCTTCTTTATAATCAATCCCTCCAGCCACCCCAGCCCCTGGCAATCACTAATTTGTTCCTTTAATTTTGACTTTTATTGAATACCATATAAATGGAATCATATGATATGTATTATCCTGAGACCACAGGGGTTCCAATTTCTCCACAACCTTGCCAACAATTGTTATCTTTTGTTTTTTTAATAATAGTCATCCCAACAGGGGTAAACACCATACACAAAAAATCAACTCAAAATAGATTAAAGACTTAAACATAAGACTGAAACTGTAAACCCCATAGAAGAAAACATAGAGAAAAAACTTCTGGACATTGTTCTTGGCAATGAATTCTTGGACATGTCACCAAAAGCACAGGTAATAAAAGCAAAAATAAACTGGGACTACATCAAACTAAAAATCTGCACAGCAAAGGAAATTATGTTGAGGCACATACACAGTTAGAATTGTTACATCTTTTTGGTGAACTGATCCTTTATTCATTACGGAATACCCTTCTTTATTCCTTGTGCTATTCCTTGTTCTACATTTTAATTTGTCTGATACAATATATATACTTCAGCTTTGTTTTGAATACTCTGTCAAAGTATATAATTTTCTATTATTTTACTTTTAACTTATGTCTTTATTTATAAAGTGGATTTCTTATAGACAGGATATAGTTGGGTTTAAAAAATCCAATATAACAATATGTCCTTTAATTAGTGTGTTTAGATCACTTACATTTAATGTAATTACAGATATGGTTGGATTTAGACATATTTTAGTTGTTTTCTGTTTATCTTTCTGACTTTTTGTTCTTCTGTTCCCCTTTCTCCAACTTCTTTTGGATTATTTGAATATTTTTGGGAAGGTTTTAATTCACTGGCTTTTGAGCTACATTTCCTTGCATATTTTTGAAGTAGTTGCTTTAGGGATTACACTATATATACTTAATTTTTTCTTTCTACATAGTTGTTATTTTACAACCTCAATTACAACCACATAGGTCCCTTTTACCCTCTCCCCTTTATGTTATAGTTGTCATATGTAGAACATCTATATACACTGAAAATCCCACCAGACAATGTTATCATTTTTACTTTCAA